GTGTGTGTGTGTGTGTGTGTGTGCGTCTTAAATGCATAACTTTAAAAATAAGACTTACACAAATATTTGAAATTGTATATTATTTTGTATATATATATTTGTACATTTTTGTGTGTGTGTGTATAAAGAAAGTAGTATAGATTTATACAATATTTCAATTATATATTAATATTTTAATACTAATTAATATATATTAATACATATTTCAATTTGATATATAAATATTTATATATTGCAATGTTTCAAAACCCAGTTTAGTTCTCAACATTCTGAAATTAAATGTTCAGCAAGTGTGGTGTGTCTGTGTACTTTTGGCCACAGTACAGTATATCATGGTTGCTGTGTTTATTTGGCAGAACTTTGATGGTGAAGAAGTGGAAATCTCCTACTCCAACAATGGACAGGATCTGGGAACAGCTTTCAAAGTCAGTAAGGATGAGCTGGAGGGAAAGCAGTTCTTCCCTCACGTCCTCTGCCACAACTGTGCGGTTGAGTTCAACTTCGGCCAGCGTGAAACCCCGTTTTTCCCCCAACCTGACGGCTTTACGCTCCTGCAGCAGATCCCTGTTTGTGATCGCATCAGAGGACCAAAGGGGCCCGAGACCAAAGAAGACTGTGAGGTTGGTTTTATAGCCAAGGAAAACATTTTTTTTCTTATATCATCATTAAAAAGCCTTATCTAAATCTGCTGTAAATCTTCCCAGGTCATTGTCGTGGTTGGATTGCCTGGATCTGGAAAAACGGAATGGGTTACAAAGCACACACAAGCCAACCCTGGAAAATACAACATTCTTGGAACAAACACAATCATTGAGAAAATGATGGTGAGTGCTGACATAAGAGAACGGTTTTAGACAATATAAACATCATATTCAGTGTTATTTTTCTGTTGAAATTCAGATTTCCAGTTTGAAGCGACAGATGAAGGATGTCACAAAGCTCTCAGCGATATCTCAGCGTGCTCCCCTCTTCCTTGGGAAATTCATCGAGATCGCTGCACGTAAAAAACGCAACTACATTCTTGACCAGGTGATTAAATATAATCGAGGGTTTACAAATACTTATCAAAATCACAGCATATACTAATCTCTCTTGAAATGTTACTCTTATTACGTTTTTTTTTTCATGGTAAAGGGTTAGTTCTCCCAAAAATGAAAATTCTGTCATTAATTACTCACCCT